TCTCTCTCTCTCTCTCTCTCTCTCTCTCTCTCTCTCTCTCTCTCTCTCTCTCTCTCTCTCTCTCTCTCTCTCTCTCTCTCTCTCTTCCCCCGTGTCCCCCCACCTTGCAGCCACTTTGCTCTTTCCTTCCCGACTCGGACTCTCTCTTGCTCCCGCTCTCTTCCCACAATTCTTACTGCTCTCTCCTAGCCGTCTCCCTCTTGCTCCCTCTCTTTTCCGGCACTTCTTACCTTAACACCAGGTTTGCTTGGCTGCGGGCTTGGGATGGACGTAGGAGCTATAGATGACAGCGACCAGCGCCGACCACTGCATGCGGTGCACCCTGCAGGGCCTGGACTGCATCGTGATGGCTATTTCATCAACCTTGTATTGCCACGTGAATGAATATGTCATTGACGAGTTCCGCTGATTGTGGGATGGTAATAAGGCTGGTTCCGTTGACTTGTCAGAAGCTTTAAGGCCCCGTGCTTTGCGGAGAACCAACCACACTACACCAAGAAGAGATCATGTGTGAGATGAGTTGTGCTGTAACTGATGTTCCTTTTGCTATTCCGTTCGCTACAATTCCCTTTGCAAGAAGTGATTAGATTAATAGACTAGTAAGTAGGGGTTCCCGTTAACCACTTGTGAGCACGTGATGCTCCCCACAAATAGATTGGAGTGCTTTTTTTTTCTTTCTTTTTCTTAATAGATTGGAGCTTGTTTAAAATCAAAAAGAAAAATTTAAAAGAAAGAAAGGACGTATCTCAAAGAAGAAAGCATGATGAGAAGGTGCATTGGAGAACACAGAGAACACAGAGAACACAGAGAACACAGAGAACACAGAGAACACAGAGAACACAGAGAACACAGGATCATTAAGGATAGCGCATTGACAGGTCAACAGCCTGGCCCACGAACCTACCACAGTGGGTCAACTTGTTATTATTCAAATTGAAGTACCAGCGCGAAGACAATTCCTTGGAAGCTTTTGGTCATGCATGCTGACGCAGCGCTTTCGATGGACCATCTTTTGGTCACTTCTTGTGCGGCCGGTCTGACACATACTTCATGGGAAATCTCAAATTTTCCTTCATTGACAAGTGAAAAATGGGCCCATTGCACTGGTGGTTTAAGGACCGTCACAGCGTTGGAAGGGCGCTGAAAGTAAACCGTTCAACCTTCCGATCCACCCATTCATTACCCATTTGAAGCTACCGACTATAATGGCAAAGCACAGTCGTGGCGGAATGCAGCTGAATGTGCGCCATCACCCGTTACTCTCAGCGCCCTTCCAACGCTGTGACGGTGCTTAAACCACCGGACCACCGGTCGTGGCGGAAGCAATGAGTAAAGCAATGAGTAACGGGTGATGGCGCACATTCAGCTGAATGTGCGCCATCACCCGTTACGCTCCAGCGCCCTTCCAACGCTGTGGCGGAATGCAGCTGAATGTGCGCCATCACCCATTGCTGTTAGCTGAGTGCAAATTTAAAGAAACATGTATCAGTTGCTATCAGTCGATGAGCAAGAGCCCTATTCAATGCGAACCGTGTTGGAGGTTGTCCTCCTTCCTCACAGAAGACTCCGAAGACTCCGAAGGCTCCGAAGAGTCAAAGCTGCCACTTACATCAAGTTACATGATTTGCAAGATTACCATCAGTTGTCCACCTTGGGACATTAATTGAATCACAGAGAGAGAGAGAGAGAGAGAGAGAGAGAGAGAGAGAGAGAGAGAGAGAGAGAGAGAGAGAGAGAGAGAGAGAGAGAGAGAGAGAGANAGAGAGAGAGAGAGAGAGAGAGAGAGAGAGAGAGAGAGAGAGAGAGAGAGAGAAAGAGAGAGAGAGAGAGAAGGCGGAGATTGCACATGTACAAGGATGATGCTAATTGGACTGAGTTTTTGAGAGGGGCGAGAGGAGGGAGAAGGGGAGGGGAAGAAAATGAACCATTCCAGGGAAAACCGGATGCTGAATCCGAAATTCAATAAAACCTTTACTCAGCATTAGGTAAGGCTGCTCATATCAGCTTGCCAAGTAGGTCTGAATTGGCCTTGGTGAAAGGGAAAAAAAAGAAGAAGAAGAAAAAAAGCATTAGTGTTGATGTGGAGAACTGGATTTCCTGATTGATGACTTTTTCAAGCCAGAATAGTTGCTCCACCTCAAACTCCAGTGATCCCCCTTCGCTTTACCTCCAAGTCTCTTTCTGCCCTCTTCTTTGTCTGTCGTTAACCCTGAGGCTCCGCCTTCACCATTGCTTCTCATCATGGCAGTGGTACAAATGATGAGCTGGTTTCGATAACGGGAGAACCGGCGGAGATAACCGGAGATAGCCGAAGATTGCAATTCTTGATTGTTGGTTTTGCTTTTTCCCTTTGGGAGCACCTGGTCCACTGCATTTGGCACATGCAGCAAGATGGGATCGTAGCGGCTTGCCTTCACCAACCCATGTACGTAAGTACACAACACTTGGCTCATGTACACAAGTACGCACGTACCTAACACTTGACAATGTGTCTTCAGGCTGGCAGAGAATTCTTTGCAAGCGGAGATCCTCGTTTCTTGGCTGCGCATCTTGCATCTCCTCAGGCTCCTCGTTACGTCTCTCGCCCTTCTTTTGAGCTTGCGCCTTCCAACTTCAATAGCTAGTGGCCTCTTCAGCCTCAGGATCACCTTGGACTGAGTGTTCCCGTTGGCATTGTTCGTATTCAGCCTCGCATGGTTTCCAGCGGCCAGCCATTAAACCACCAGTACTTGACCCAACTATAGGCTGCAGCAAAAAATAGAGTAGAAGTGTTTTTACTCGGATGAATTTGGGCGCTCCTGTAGTGGCTCGTACGCTTCCTAAAATTGTGGTTTGTATACGGGCACAACTTTAGGAAGTACTCGTTGTTTAACATTCAAAAAAGCTTCTTGCAGCACGTGCATTGAAGTTGAATTGCACAATGTATGTGACGATTTCAATTTCAGTGGACTTTGTCTTTTTCCCCCAAAAGGGTGACACCGTGACAGCCTTGAGATATCATCGCGGAACTGACCAGACCCAGGTGATTCAGGATTTTTCCATCTGGATTCGATCTCGGGTCTCTGTTTCATCAGTTCACGGGTGTATCAATTGAGCTAGGCCCGTCGGTTTTCAGTGGGACTTTCAAGTTTGACACACGCTACGACCTTATTCCAAGGCTCCTATTCAACATCACATAAGGGTCGAAGATACACTTTACCCCACGCCTCTTCCCATTAGGGCTGGAAGAGTCTGAGCCACTGCCCCCCTTTTGTTTTTTGGCTCTGAGCCTTTGCTCCCTTGGAGCCAGATTTCCTGAAATCTTGAGTAGCAAACCAGCCGGCATTGATCGCCCTGCACAAGCCACCAGGGATTAATCACTGGTTGCTGCTTGCATCACCGGATCATCACGTTTTTTTTTCTCCTTTCTCTCTTCTCTTATTTTAAAAGGGCCACAGCCAACTGACCGGCCCCAAGCAATTCAGAATTATTTGACTCTCTTCGTCCAATTGTATCGGGATTCGAACTTGGATCTGCATTTCAACAGCTCACAGATGTACCAACTCAGCTACTATGGTAGGCCCTTTTGTACCAGATCTTAGGCTTATCCTCTCCAGTCTCCCAGATTGCTAGATAAAGAGCAATTCCCTACAAACGTATGGTTATTATTGTTGTATTTAGACTGAAAGATATCCCAAATACAGCTATAATGACCGTACGTTATACTCGACGTTATACTCTACGTTATACTCGACGTTATACTCAACGTTATACTCGGGTGAAGAAGGTAGTCAGCAAGGACTCGTATCAATTGTTGTCGAACTCACAAACAAGCCTGCCATTTTAGAAAACCTTGGCCCAAGCGAGGTCTGTCCAAGCTCGAAGGGGGGCAAATTTCCTAACTTTAAGCTCAAAGTTGAGGCTACCCTTATTAATGCGACTCCAATCTGCCAAAATAATATTTTTTAACCCATGGAGCATCCATTTTTGGAGATCCATAATAAGAATTTGTGTACTTTCGAAACGTGTGGAGATACGGCCCCTCCATAGTACCCATAGACCCATGGCTCTTCTGATCCATGCAGTCTCTGGGACAACGGAGGTTGGGTGCATGTCTCCTCTTTTTTTTTTTTTTTTTTGTTATAAAAATAAGGCACCCCCACCAGTGTTAGTGCTGCTGGTAAGAGCAGACACCACTAACACCTGGGGAGAGGCTCCATCTATTGGTGGGGAGCGTCACCTGCTGGAAAACGGGTTCAGCGTCCCATATACAGGAAAAAGGGATGTCTGAGAAAATGAGAACAGTGACTGTGGGGTCTGCCAGCATTGATTACCCTGCAACCAGGGGATTGACTGAGCAGGCCCTGTGTATTGTCCAGCGGTGTAGTCCAGGTCCAGCGTACCATATACAGCAAAGGGGATGTCTGAGRAAATGAGAAYAGTGWCTGWGGGGTCTGCCAGCATTGATTACCCTGCAAMCMGGGGATTGACTGAGCAGGCCCTGTGTATTGTCCAGCGGTGTAGTCCAGGTCCAGCGTACCATATACAGCAAAGGGGATGTCTGAGGAAATGAGAATAGTGTCTGAGGGGTCTGCCAGCATTGATTACCCTGCACACCAGGGGATTGACTGAGCAGGCCCTGTGTATTGTCCAGCGGTGTAGTCTTCTATGAGCAAGAGGAGCAGCCAATGTCCTTTGTACCTCTTCACCCTCATAAGAAGGGCACCAGATAGACAGTTAGGGACTGATACTATTGAGAAGAACTACTCACTCCAAACCATGCTCAGTTGCTTCAGAATACTCAAACTGTCAGCTTTGACTACCCCAGCAGACTGAAAAAACAGGAGAAAGCATTGGGGGGGTCCTCCCCAGGGGGCTCCACTGGCAGGGAGGCGTTCCACATGTGAAAGCCTATTAGGATGTAAAGGAGAGTATCATATTCAGGACAGAATCTCTGTCAGAGACAGGGCATGAGGTGGGAAGGGATCTGGAAAATTCGAGGGAGGGCGTAGTGGGAAGGAGGGTTCTATGTTAGTCCTGTCCTTAAAAATTAGACGACAGTCTCTCATTTCTTCCAAATCGTGCGGCCCAACTCCCCTGTCTCCATTCCATTCCACTTTTGCAATCCATCCTTCTCTTTCTCCACCCACCCTGCCTGTGCAAAATGCCGTGATCCGTCTCCTAACGTCTCCAATTTGTCAGAATAGGTCTCATTGTGATTTTGTGTCCAACCATCTCCGCGTAACCTCAAGGTGAACCTGCTGCTGAATCTGTTCTGAAATTTCTGGCCCTTCCACACGTAGTACCCTCTCCATGGCTAGGGTGCATCGCTGCCACCAGAGTGTCTGAATCACTGTCCTCCTTCCCAATCTATACATATTCCCTACAAAAATCGAGGTTGTTTCTGCCAGCGGCCAATGCCCAGCCAATATGGCCTGCCACGACCAGGGTCCGGGAATGTCTGGTTTCATTTTCCGCTGTTGAGTGCATCAGCGCCCGCCTTTTTGCAAGGTGCGGGAGCCCTCTTGGCCATGTCACGCAGGAGTAAAATGAAAGCAAAAACAGAGACAACTTGGAGACAACGCAAAATAATC